GAGAGACTAGGGTTAGAAAGGGTTTTATACAACTAATTTGCGCGATAGCCCTATCCTTTAGGGTCCCTGCAGAATTGGTACCTATATTTTCAATCTAGGATTTATTAACCCCATTCAACCTATTAATGTGAAAACCACTCTTTCCATCCAAATTCGTTTATTTGACTCTCAAAAGTTAAAACGGTAAATGCTTAACAGAAAAGACTAGATACAATCAAATTTAAGTAAATAAAGAGAGAGAATATCATTATCGTCTTTTTCGATTAAAATAATTATTGAATAGAGATGACAATTTTCCCCGCCCCACTTTGTCCCGTCCCATCTCCGCTAGGCCCCGCCCCTTAACGGGTTGGCGGGGCGGGCGAGGTTCGTCGCCCCGCCTCGGGTGGCCGGCTAGGAGGGGCATTCGTGAAGAATTAAAAAAAAATTGTTTTGGATATTGTTTGTTTTGGACATTTTTTATTTCGAGTGCTTACTTTAAATATTGATATAGTTAGTTTAAACGTTATTTGCTTTGGATTTTAAAATTTTGAATTTGTATTTTAACTAAAAATAAATAAAAAAAAAAGGACAGAAAACGAGGCAAGTCCGTGCTGCGCCTCGCCCCATCTAAGGCTGGGCGTGGGGCAAGACGGGGGAGTGGCATGGTGTGGTGGGGTGGGACGGGCACTCCCGCTCCGTTGCCATCACTACTTTCGAATAGTCAAATAAATGGATTTAGTATCGTTTGACAAGATTCCTGCTTCTGCTTCTTGAAAACTGAGGAGCTGCATTTCATTTATTTGGATAAGTTTCTAAACATATTTCATCTGATTAGAAGAGTTTTTAAAAAGAGTGGACATAAATTGATTTTCTCAAAAAACATTTTTATAAGAAGTAAAAGCAAAAGTTCTATAAAAACTTGTCTTTGAGACATATTCATCTAAAAACGATTATAGTCAGAAAAAGAAAATTCAAAAAAGTATCCACGTGTATTCAAAAGTATAACCATCTCAAACATAATTCTTTTACTTTTCAAAGACCCGTCAAATAGGTCCCTTGGTCAAAAAGGGTAGCTTTTGCAGCAGAAAGTTGAAATGGGTTTAATAATAATTGAATTGAAATGATAGGTACCAATTCCAAAGGAACCCTAAACGACAGGGGTATTATGAAAATTATACTCACACCAATTTTTTCTGTTTGCACTAGTATTAAAGATCCTTATTTTTTACTTATTATCGATCTTGATAGAGCACCGAATCAGGACATAATTAGCAGAGAATCAGCACAGAATTAGCACTCACTTATGGAAAGATTTATCATTCCCTTAACCATAATTTCCTTGTAATTCTCTCCTTATTTAGATGATTTAGTTTCCCATTGCATAGCCTACAACAGTAGGATTGTATGGTCATCGTACTGTATATATTGATACTCATCAATTGTTAATAAAGTATTCCTTCAATAAACTTGTTTATGGTATCAGAGCCTCTCTGTCAACTGAACAGAGTTTGATCCCTCTGCAAAACCCAGTCGTGCCTTCTGCAATGGAAAAATCTCAGGAATCATGTGCAGCATCAACAGCTTCAGCA